ACATATATTAAACGTTTGTATATGTGTTTGCTAAAATTACGTAGTATATGTGTTTCAACTTGGCCATAAAATACATACTCTGTATATTAAACGTACAGGTACACAGTCTACTCCCTCCGTTCTGGATTTGAGGCGCCATAGTAATGAAGATAGAGAGATCAGGTACATGCATGGTTCTAGGCTTCCAGCTGCTGCATGCACAGGAACGAAGAGAGAGCATAGGCCTGGGCGCATGGCTTGACGCACTGCACGAAGTGAGACATCAGATGCATGGGCGCATGGCCCTAGCAGCTTTTGACCAGAAAACGTGTGGCAGACACTGCATGCATGGCTGGTGTTTACTTCAGAGACAGTAGATGTATGGCGCTGAGGTCGGCGCCCTGCTTTTGTAGGCCTGGGCTGCAGCGCGCGACAGACAGCTACAGCACAGCCGAGGTCGACGTCAGACCTCACGGCGCCGAGCTATGCCATGTCGGAGCCCCATCAGCGCCATGTTATCGTCTGGTCTTCGATCTCGACGTCAAGATCTGTGGCGCCGAGACGTGTTAACTCGGCGCCATGAGTCCTGGTGCCAACCCTAGGGTCTAAAGATGAGTTTAAGTCTTCCAGAGGACCAAACTTAAATTTTCTTCAAAAAATGGCCAAATTGTAAAAAATTAGGCCAACTGCTCCAGCTTTCAGTCTTCCTGACATGATGCCTGAACCACCGCGTCTTCCTTCCCTGACGCCTCCGCTTCCCCCCAAGCGAAAGCGCCACCCGCGCTGCCCCCATTGACGCCTTCCTCCTCAACACTTCAACAGGCGCCAGTCCTGCATAAGGATGAAAACGAAACGGAAATATCCCGAACCGAACCGTATCGTTTTCTACATCTGACCCGAGCGAATTCGTATTTTCGGACAAAATACGGAATACTAAATTCGAATTCGGAATATGGAATACTAAATTCGAAATCAGATCGAATTCGGTTTAGGCTTTGTTCGATCGATTTCTACTTTTCTACATTTTATTCGGAGTCGTCCGTATTCGAAATTCGGTTCGAACCGAATTTGGTCCAGCACGCACAGTCGCACACGCACGCCCTGGCCAAAGCTGCATAGCGCCATCGGCCCAGCCCAAAAGGACAACCATAAATCCCTAATCCCATTCCCTCCCCGTCTCCTCCCCTCCCGTCCGGCCCTAGCGCTGGCGAGTGGCGGCGCCCCGACTCGCGACGCACTCACGCACACGCACACACGGCGTGACACCTCGCCTCGCCTCCGTCCAACCTGCCAGCGCCGCCGTCCCTCATCTACACCTGCCAGCGCCGCCGCCCCTCATCTGCACTTGCCATCGCCGCGGGACACCTGCCAGCGCCGCCACTCCGCCCATCGATGGCGCCCATTGGAGGAGGTGTTTCTGCTCCTGGAATGAAGAGCAAGGGCAAGAATAAGACCAAGAGCGTGCCACCTTCTTGCGCCGCGCAGCAACGGCAGCAATGGCTTCTCCCTCTCCAGCGCCAGGTACTGATTCATCTCCTTCTGTACTAAGGAGTAAGGATAGATCCACTAGCTGCAGGCAAAGGTTCAATTTTTCGTAGGCTTAAGACCCTTAGGACCCCGACCTTTGATTTTAGCTTCGTTTCTTCGAATGCGGTGCTTGCTGCGCGGGGTTTGTAGTTAGCTTGATACATGGTGAACGTAAGCTGTGTCGCATGCTATGAGGTGGGCTGTGAATGTTTTGCAGCTGATGTGTGCTTGCTGATAAGATTTCACGTATTTCAAGGTTGGACCAGTTCATTTTGAGAATGTATCGTACTCAGTTTTAGGTTTCAGGAATCAGGACTGTGTGGACGAAATTGAGATGGGTATATTCTTCTATGCAGAAATGAAAGCAATTCCAGTCCAGTCCAGTCCTGTCCTGTGGGTTAACTTGAAAATGGTATTATGGAAACTACAAATCCACAGCTCCCCAATCACAAGTTCAGTTGGATATACCACATTTTAAATTCATCATTGCACAATTAGCCACCTAAGTTTCTGAGTTTGTGTGGTGTTCAAGCATAAGATCCCATGTATACTTGGGTCGGCAGCAATGCAATGTTCTGTGCCCCCTTGTGACACAGTATTAGATTGCTGATACTTTTCTGATGTAAAATGACACAGTATTAGATTAAAATATTTTCTGGACATTTTGCTTGATTATTTGGGATCGGCATGCACTGATTTAGCAATGTTTCAATTGGCTCTTGGCAGGATCAAGGGACAAAAGGTCTGCATCTAAGAGTATTAGTCCTAGTGGAACTTGTGAAAGTCCAACTACAGAAGCATCAGTAGCAGCATTAGTGTCAGTGAGGGGTTCTTGTGCTCCAAATGTTGACACCAGTTGCACTGGCAGTGGCGCTGGACCCGCTTGTGCACCAGTAACAACCACAACTCCAAATGTCGACAATGATGACCCAGAGGATGGCGATGATGAAGAAGAGGCTCACCTTTCTAGCAAGAGGTACAAGAAGTAGAGGTGGAAGGAAAGCAGATTGAGGAGATTTGGGGATACTGCAATTTCGCTAGGTGTGATCAGAGGTACAGAGCTGAGGGCATCTGTGGGACGACTGCATTCAAGAACCATTTGAAGTCAAAACACAGTACTGTGAAGGGACAACAACAGCTTAAAGTTAGTAAGAACCCTAGTTCTGTAGCAGCTCATGTTCAGCCTTTCAAATATGACCAAGAAGCTAGCTTGAAGAAATTGAATTTGGCAATAACCATGCATGAATATCCTTTCAATATAGTTGAGCATGAGTATGTTGTTGATTTCATAAAATCTCTCCGTCCTAGCTTTCCGATAAAATCTCGTGTCACTGTTAGGAAAGAAATAATGGACAATTATTTCCAAGAAAAGGAAACTCTGTATGCACACTTGAAAACTATGAATTGCCGCTTTAGTGCAACAATGGATATGTGGACCTCATACCAAAAGAAAGGATACATGTGTGTTACAATTCATTGGATAGATGATAGTTGGCGTATGCAAAAGAGAATTATTGGTTTCTTCAATGTAAAAGGTAGGCATACTGGTGCAAAGTTGTCTTCGAGTGGCAGTTCTCAATGCATCTTATCCAAACCTGGGCAAGGCTATCTGAGATTCCATTTACTAGGGCCCTTTGCTGGGAACAGTTGTCATTCAGTTGATTAGAATTGAGTGGAACTCTATCAACAGACCTACGCTCTCCATAAACCAAGTTGTCGTTCAGTCTCAACCGAGAAGAATGTTTGGGAGCGACACAGAACACAGATGGAGACCAAAGTGATTAGTGCCATGCTAGTTGCTAGTTGCTACATCTAATTTTAATTCACTTTGCAAACTTGAAGGACAATAACAAGGAGGGGAAGAGGACGCTGAGGAGGACAATGAGGAAGAAAAAGACATGGAAAGTGATCCTGACATCATAGATGATGCTGATGAACTGTAGATGTTCATGTTCTGTTAATTGCTTGTTCTAGACTTGTTATGTATTTGGTCGTGCACTTGTTTAATGCTATGCACTTGAACTAGATCATGCACTTGTTAGTTATGAACTTGTTATGTATTTGGTTGTACACTTGTTTAATGCTATGTGGGTCGATATTTCGTATTGAATTTTCGTATACCGACCGTGTTCGATATAATTCCGTTCGAATTGGTTCGTTTCTGAAATTCTAGATATTCCGTAATTTCGTGTTCGTTTTCGTGTCCGACTTGTCTGCTTTCGCTTTCATGTTTTAAATGTAAAAGTACAAAACGGTGATCTAGATGAAGACAGGGACACAGGGCACCCCCGTCCTCTCATCCAGCATCAGCACCCTTCAAGTACACATCGTGCACTTGAGTCTTGCCCGGAGAGACTGTGAAGGGAGGGAGCGGTTGGAACCACACCACCATCCTCAACCAGACAGTTGGATAAAGACCGCAACGACAATCCTCCTCCGCCTGCCAGCTCCAGCGTCGACTCAGCCAGAGAGCAGGGGAAATGACGGGGCACGCAGTGTCTCCTCCTACGAGGATTCTTCTAGCATCGTAGCCATCTTTTCTAGCACGAGGATCTGTGGAGGGAACGTGGAACCTCAATACGAGAACTAGCAAAGAGAAGGAGCCTCAGGCCAACTACTGCTGTAACCCGAGCAAGGCCTTTAAAGAGGCAGCTGGGAGCTCTATTTATAGCCAGGTGATCAAGCCACTAGCCAAGAGTAACCGCAGTGTACCCGTGACTACACAGTACAAGGCTTGGCCTATCGTCTGTCACAAGCACAGTTCTCACGTGAAGGCCCGGCCGAAGCGAATTCAAGACTCACATGTGACCCACCCTGATTGCAACAAGACAACTCGCACTGTACGCCCGTGCGTCCTCTCGAGTACACTAGCAATGCTGGCTCAGACGATAAGCAGCCTGTTCGTTTCTTCGTATACGATCGTGGATTATAAGCTGGAAGTGTTTTTCTCTCACACCAAATCAGTCAACAATAAATAATCTATGATCATTTAGGACGAAACGAACAAGCTGAAGGAGACAGTACTCCCGTGCGTACTACCTGCCATGGTTGCAATAATTCAGAATCACAACACACGAGGACTACGCGCGGTGATCTCAAACTACTCACTGGGCGAGTTTTAACCCACGGATCGCAGATACGGTTTTCAGCAAGACAACAAGGGGAATTGATCAACAACAACACTAAAAAGGTACACACGAGGACCCCTGCATTTACAAGGTCCAAGGTAGTCAAGGAGTCCGAGGGCGCTTTGCTCCTAGCCTCGAAGTCGATCCTCGGGCGGGATCTCGTTGAAGATTGTTTGGCAGCCAACATATGGCCCCTTTCCGATGGGTGGAGACCACTAGATATTGTGCCGAAGGAGGTTCCGTGGAGCACTAGCCCGCTCCCTTACCCTCGTTTCGGAGTGGAGCTGCCCGAGGGTGCCAACCCCAGTCTTTTTCGCGGAGGATGTTGAGAGGCATGCGATTATTGGCCCGTGCACTGAGACCGAGATGTCATCGGCCAAGAGGATCGTCGCACATGAGCTTCGAGTCAACCGTGTTTTCGAGGAACTTGGGGTCGATGTTGCGCCTCGCCCCAAACCTCGTAAGACTTCGAAACTGACACGAGAGGTTGTCGCATCAGGCTCAGAGCAGGTCGGTGGCGGAGGCAGAGGGAAAAAGAGGAGAGCCGAGAGTACAACTTCAAAGGCCGCGGCAGTGGCCTCAGAGAAGGATGACAGCCAAGTGAGAGTCGTGCTCGAGGCTGCGAAAGCGAAACAAAAGACATCTAGCCTCGAGGCCCAAAAGAAGAAGGAAAAACTTGGACAAGGCACTTCGAGTGAGGCTGCGAAATCCGAGCTCGAGGCCGCCGGCGCGCTTGCCGGCATGAAAGCAAAGAAATCTACAAGAAAATCTCGCGTCGGCAAGGTCTTTGATGATGATGAAGATGTTGCTCTAGATGTGGACTAATCTATGGTCCCTTTTTTGGCTCCCGAGGCTAGCATTCCTCCAAAGGAGTCTGAGACCGAGGTTGCTGCGCCTCCTCTACACCCCGAGGCAAACCCTTCGAAGGGAAAGATCGTGGAGACTGTTGCTAAGGAGATGAAGGCGTCTGCTTCAAAGGCGGCAAAGCTAGGTAAACATGTAGCTGTACGTTTGCCTAGGATAAGATTTTTGATTGCGGTGACGCCTCATTGAGATTTCTAATGGAGTTGGAAAAAACCATTGGTGCACCTGGGGAACCTCCTCTGATATTTAGAGTAAAACCTTATGGTGCAGATTCCGATTTGCCGCCTTCATTGAAAAGTTACAACGAGGCCTTCGGCACCGAACTTAGAGAGCAGCTGGTGTCCATTCATTTGCCGGGGTCAGGTGAGGACGGCAATCCGTACAACTTGCCTTTGTTGTGGGGCGCTAAGGGTGGGATGCGTGCTGTAGACGAGGCGGCAAGGGGGGGTTTCAAGAGCTCAGAGAGGGATGGCGGCGAGGATGATGACAAGGAAGCTAGCGAGAATGGAGAGGTCAGTCCCTCCCAAGGTTTGGATAAGTCAAAGGCGCCTGCCGAGGCTGACGACGAGGACAGAGCTTTTGATCCCGAGAGTTAGTATTTTCTTTTTAGTTTTATTTTAATCGAACTTAGCTTTCTGCTTCTTCCTGTTTTCTGAAGTGCCCTTCCTACTAACAGAATATGAAAAATCTGCTCGTTGCTTCGGGCCTAGCGACCTAGCTAGGATGTCAGCTACCCTCAGTTATAAGGTAGTGTGTCCAACGCTTGCTATTCTTTGTTTTTATTATTTTGATATTACCTAAATTTCCCTTTGTTTTTTCTGTTTTGTAGTCTGTTATTCTGAGTAAGCTCACTGTCGAAAAAGCTGATGAGAGGGAGAAGTTCATGCTTAGCCAGAGCACGAAGATGGCTGAGCTCGAGGCCAGAGTTGCGAAGCTCGAGAAAGAGAACAAGACCTTGGACAATATAAAAAATGATCTCTCCGAGGCTAACTCCGAGCTTAAGAGGAATAATGTATTGCTTACGAATACCTGTAGCGACCTTGCTCAGCAGGTCGACAAGCTGGAGAAAAGAGCCGAAGATAATCTTGGCGTTTTGGAGAAACTCCGAAATACCGCAGAGAAAGATGCGCAAACTATCGCAGAGCAGGAAAAAATGATTCATACCCTTGGCGAGAATCTCCAAGAGCAATAGACTTTTGTTGAGGAGGCAGAACAGGTTCTGAAGAAAAGGTTCTCTGAGATTTACGAGGGGTACAAGGCTTCTCTTGCAGAGTTTGGCGCAGAGCCTCTTCCGTTTCCGGCCGACGAAAAAGTAAAAGAAATATTTGACTGGATGGATGAGGAGTTTAAAGGCCTTCCCGAGGTCATTACTGGCATCAGTGACTTTGCTGCTTCCTTCTGCCTTGATGGTGCATTTCAACTCCTTGAAAAGAACAGCTGCTCTCATTTCTTGACACTCGCGGCTCGCACCTATAAGTTCCCCTCGGCCTCGGAGCTTGGTGTAGAGGAGAAATCAAAAAATGTGAGAGCTACGAAGATAAATTTCTTCAAATAGCTTTGGGCGACCCCGGGGCGAGAGTACACGAGGCTGGTGGCTCAGGAGCGGCTTGCGAAGGTCGGAGATTTTTTAATTTCGTGTTTCTTTTGGCTTTCTTTTTGTCTCGTACCTCACTTGACATTGTTTCTCATGTTTCCCCAGATCAAGGAGGAGGAAGCGAGAGGCGAAGGCAGGGAGGAAGGCGCTGATCAAGGGGAGCAGTAGCTCGTCGAGGCTAGCCTAGGGCTCGTGCTCGTAATTTGAAGTTGTTGTGATACACTTGGTGCTTAGGGGGCTGCTTTTTCAGACTAAGCTTGTAAATGTTGATTGCTTGGTCAGAACTCATGTTTAAGCTAGTTGCTTCTAACGTGACTACTCTCGCCGGTTTCTTTTTTACCTTAGTCTTTACGTGTTTGTTTTACTGAATTCATAGCGCAAGGGAGCGAGGATTGCTTTTTCGTTTTTGAAAAACGTCACCCCCCCTCCTTGCTTCTTTGCGCGTATATTTCGGTTCCATGCTCCTATGAATGACGGGAATCTGCTTCTTAGTTTCGAGCCAAAATTCTGAGCGCAAAGGGATGAGAAGCGCCTCTCTTTTTTTTTTTGAAAAACGTCACCCCCCCGGCTGTATGCTCGCAGGTCTTCCATGAGGTTTGTTTCTTCGTGGAAAGAGGATGAAAACGATTTTTGTTTGACAAAAAAGTCAAACCCCCCGCCCTTCTTTCATTCCTTTCCGCGAAAGAAACTGAGTTTTGGATACTACTGTTGAAAGTTTTGTTTTTTGGAATAGGGAGCGAAAGACAGAAGTAGCAAGCTTTGCTTTTTTCGAAAAAACGTCACCCTCGCCCTTCTTGACTTTTCACGTGAGCGAGGCTAAGTGAACCTTGATAACCCATAAGATAAGTCAACAGAAAACTTGTTTTCGAGTTTTGTTGACTTAAAAACACGACAGTTCGGTTGATATCGCAACCCTAAGTTGCTTCAACCGTGAAATTCTACGAGGTCGGTTTTACTGACTTCGTGGCTTACACTACGAGGTTTATTTTTGGCTTAGTAAGGTTTGAAGTGAGCTATCATTTTTTCCTTCAGGTGGCTGCGCAATGGATAAGCATGGCTGGGACCGAGGCTAGGATGTGAGGAAGCAGGGAACGGAGATGCCTTTTTTGAAAAAAAAACGTCACCCTTCCTACCCTGCTGCGTGATTTTTGGCTGAGGCTAAGGCCGTCGTGCAAAAGGACAAGATGAATTTTCTGATTTGAGAAAACGTCACCCCCCCCTTTGGCCTTTTGCGCGGAGAGGGATTAGACTGAGCATAGCTTATTCTTAGTGTTATCGTAGCCTCTAGTTGCTTATCGCGGCCTCTCTATTTTCTGAGTCACAAGTTCGAGTCTAGTTGTCGTGATCTTTGAGTGAAGGTATAAGTTATTATCTAACATCTCACATTATCTCAAATTACTTATCTCACAATCACATTACCTAACATTACTTCTAACATCATCATCACCCAAAAAACCCCAAAACAGAAAGGACTCACCTCGCTGCCAGTCGCCGCCCGTGCCTTCCCTTTGTCAAGGGGTTTGAAGCCTGGTGGGACGTCGGGCGCGACGTACTCGTTGTCCTCCATGGCTTCAGTTTTGATTTTGACACCGCTCGAGGTTGATGGCCCCAGCGGGGACTGAAGCCGAAGAAGCCGCTCCGAAAAGCAGGTTGGCGCAGGGCGTGGACGCGCGGTGGAGGAGCACCGGCGGCGGGGTGCTGCAGGGGTGGCGCCGCCGCTGGACGAGGGGTGGCGGGTGGACAACAGCCCCGATGTCGTCGTCGCCGGAGAGAGGGCGAAATGCCCCGAGGCCGAGTCACGCGCCTGCCTCCTGGAGATGTCTGCCTTCCGTCCGGTCATCTTTGGCGCTCCGGCGGGGTTTCGGCGAGAGTGGAGGAGGGGAAGTTGGAGGAAGAGAAAGTTGCAGGAGCGGGCAACCAACGGGCATGGGCATGTGTGTGGCAGAACCGCCTAATCTAATGCCTCCCAGGAGTGCTTGTCTTCCATTAGACACTAAGCACTCAGGGGAGAACCCAAAAATCCATATTTTTGCCATCAGGATCACAAATGAGATAATAAAACTTACATCATTCTTGACCATTTCTTATATCACTTTTAATACAACATCAGAGTAATAGTTATTGTATAACAGCGGAATGTAATCATCTTATCAGAATTATGAATAATTTAATTGAACAGCGGAATATAACCATGTGATCAGAATTACAGCGAAAATAATTATCTAATCATGACATGATGAAGCATTGATAAATGACTAGGACAACATATTATAAAACTTTCATTTATAAAAACATTTAGTAAGAGTTATAAATAAAAACTACGATTGTAGCATAAAGGAAATTCTCTCTGAGCCCACCAGGAGGAATCCACACACAAAGGTCAGCTTTAGCCTCCACCTGTCACCTACAACATGGGAAAATAAAACCCTGAGTACTCAATTGTACTCAGCAAGACTTACCCTACAGGAGGAAAGAAAAGACTCAAGGATATGCAAGGTTATCTGGCTTGTGGATTTATTGCATTTGCAGGAAGCATTACTAAGCGTGTGTCCTTATATTCGATTTTTATTAATAGTTGCGTTGGTTCATTAACTAACCATTTTATGTAAGCACTTGTACTACTTTCAAGCAGGTGGTAAACAATCAGATTTCATTTTTCCATCTTTCAGTTCTTACTAGGGTGCTAGACCGTAGACAAGCCGTACCGGATTTTCCGGCGATTCGCAAATCAATGTGCCCAGCTGGGTGCCCCGAAAACACACGCCCCGCTTGTACCCCAGGCACAAGCAGGACCAACCCATCACTCTCCTGTCCTGGGTGTCCAGGTTCTCGTCCAAACTGGGACTTCAAGCCCCTGCCTCTGAGTCCCGGACTCAGTGCGGTGTAAGGACCTCCTCCACCAAAATAAAACCCTAACAGTCGGTCCGAAAAGAGCCGGATCCACGACGAAAGAGCAACAAGCCTTCTAAGCGCCCATACACAAGTATGTGCTCGGGACAATAGATCTGTAACTTGCATAGAGACTTATACAACGACTGGTCCTTAACCGACACAGACAGGAAAAGCAGTGTAACCAAACCATGCCCCGCGTCCACGGCGACACAACCTCTTACACCCACCATTACCCAAACCGTATCCCTGCCCGGTCACCATTTTCCTTTCCACCATTTATATTTTCCAAGTGATAATAATATAGTAATATATATTTCCTATCTCTCGCGAGTGACAGCCATCACTCGACTTGTACCGGAGTCCTATAGCATAGCATTCTACATGATCCTATAATACTAGTGAGACTCATAGGATAAAGATATATATATGCAAGTGGGTTTCATTCAACTCCTTAAAACTTATTGCACAATTATAATTTAAACTGCAGAAAAGTAGGGGTTATGCACCGAGGCTTACCTGGGTAAGATATATATCAAAAAGTTAGTATCTGTATCTTCTGATCATCCACCATCACTGAATAGAAAACCCATTGCATCATCTCCTGAAGAGAATACCATTACACCATCCTCGTATTCCCAATCATCCTTCAATTGATCCGTTGATCCATTATCGTACCTATATGATATGCATTGATGCAAATGTATAGATGTAAATAATCAACGACAGCCGAAATACTTAGAAACCCGATCACACCGCACAAGCTAACGTGATAGCTCTAACGCGGGTCTACGTATCCATGTTGTCGAATAAGGCATTACTTCCCAACAATTATTTTAGTTATATAAACCAAGGTGTTTCTTTATTCTATTCTATCAATTTAATCTTTATTTGCAATAGGACATCATTATCTATTTAGCAAACTAATTATTCCGGAGCTACAAAAATTACAGTGAGCAACTAATAATATTAGTAGTTTACTGTCAAATTTTTAGAGTCAACACTATCACCGATTTATCCCGGAAATTCCTACGAGTTCTCATTTTAACAATATTAAGTATGTTAAAATAATTAGAGAAATCCTAAAAACACACCGAACCTATGCGAACAAAATACACTATTAGATAGATCATGATTTTAGAAACTCAACAAAACTAGTTTGGCATTTTTATGATTTTTCTGTGATTTTCTACGAATTTTACAAGGTTACTTTAGCTTTAAATTAGAAAACACCTTAAACATGAAAAAGGGGCCGGCGGCCACTAACTGGCCTAGCAGCCCGCTCGGCCAGGATCAGCGGCAAGTAGGCCCAGGCGGGGACGCATGGACAGCGGCCTAGGCGGGGCACAGGGCGTGCGCGGCCAGCGGCCCACAGGCGCTCGCGGCAACAGGCCGCCCAAGCGGCGCAGGTGTCGGCCCAACGCGGGTAGAGGAGTGGACGGCCCAACGAGTAGGCAGCGGCCCGACGCGGCGGCGAGCAGGCCGGTCCATGCGCGGACGAGCGTGGCCAGAGGCCCAGGCAGTGGCCAACTTGCAGGAAAACCCCTAAACTCTCTCTAAATCAACTAAGCCTTTACTCGTAAACTGATGAATCTAGCGCTTTTGTGAAATGAACCCGGTAAATAACCCTATTTGTGTTTCCTCGCCTTCTCAAAACAGAGCATGGAGCAGAGCAGAGCGCCGTCCGACAGCGAGAACAGCGTGACGGG